TTTAAGCCCATTTTTATGGGATAATTCCTGCTTAGCATCAAAACATGTGGGGGAGGTTTGGGTAAATTGGGCTGTTCATAACATTATTACTCTGGATCAATTCAGTTCTAAAACAGCTCTTTTAAAAAGTTTTTCAAGGATTTTTTTTTTGCAGAAAGATGATTAAATTGGTATTAATTATTTGTGTGATCTATGTAATAATTAGCATGAACATTCCTCCTGAAAAACAATGGAAAGTCACTTTAAATAATATGCAATTAATTTCCTATTATCTTAAAATGAGATACACCAACAAAAATATGTTTTGTGTATAATGGACACCTTAGATAAGGTTTGGTTGCAATCATTGTGCTGCTTACGGTCAAGTCATGTAACTTAAGTGCATTAAGTTACATGACTTGACCTTTTCCTACCACTGTCATCTTTGGGGCTGAATTAACAGAATTGTTAGCATGACTGTGAACTCACTGATGTCTTTTAGTAGCGAATGATGTTCTTGGCTATACATTCAGAATTTTTAAGTTATCAAGACAACAAGAATTGTGAATATCATAGGCACGGGGGTTGCCTAAAATAATTATAATATTTCATAATATAATGATTTTTTAAAGGGAATCTGATATAAAAAAAGAGTCTTGGAAGCAAATAATTAAGAAAAGTACTCATGGAACAACTAACATTGGAAATAGTGTCTTGGCTAAAATTGAAAAATATTTGTAGACTAACTTTTTCATTTGCCACTGGAGAAAAGGAAGAAAATATTAACAGTTGTTGTTTTAGATAAACTACCTGGATGCTTACACCAAATAGTGAGAAAATCTCCTATTAAATTCAATTCCACCCCTACTTCCACCCTGGATGGACACATGACTGAACAGCCACATGTACTGGGGCGGGGGGATGTCTGTGCGTTTATATGTAAAAGCCGTTCCATGAAAAATAATAATATCTCCAGGAATTCAAGAGAACTAAAGCTTAGCTCTACACATCCCAAGGAAGTCATTCTGAAAAAAACCATTTAATCACTGAGACAATTTATTATTTAACAAAAGCATTTTGGGAGAGGGGAGAGACTGAAATGTATGAGGTTATGAGGAGAAATAGTAACAAGAAGTTACTTAAATCAGAAGTTCCTGATTTAATCCTTCCATCTAGCAAATGAAAACACTAATTTCCATTCCCAAATGGGCATAAAAAACAGGCTTCTGTGATGTGAACACCTCCTACCGTAAAATGAATCCCTAGTAAAATCAAAACAAGACGCTGCCCCTACATCTTTAGATCTAAAATAGTAATAATAACAAAAAATCCTTTGAGAAATAAAATGCTTATATTATTTTATTTCATGTATTTCTTAATTCAATTTCAAGGTCACTTGATTCCACAGCAAATTTCAGTGACTTACAATTTAAAATTTTTAAAGAAAACAACATGTATCAAAGAAAAAGAATACAGCTGACTAGAAGACAGAACTCCAAACCCCAAAGGGCTCAGTGTCCATCTTGGCCCAAGGCCTGGGTGAACAGCTTGGTTTTTAACTATTATAGAAAGTCAAAAGGGTGGGAGCAATTTAAAGAATAAATAGATGAAAGTAGGGGAATGGAAATAATCTAGTCCTTGTTTCTTAAAAGAAAAACTGTTGTAATAGTAAACTGTGAAGAAGGTGAGACACTTTTCTCATCGTTTACCCATAGAGAAATTCTCTATTTTCAGAGCCCCATCTGCTTCAGATAAGCAAACTGATTACCTGTAGATCCCCATGAGATATATCCATCACCCTAACATGGAGATTTTTTGCTAAATGTGTAAGAAATATTTCACTTTGCTGAATGAAAACATGCTGACAGCATATTTGTCCATTCAGTGAGAACTGAATGAGAACTGCTAATATTAACAACCCCAAAGATGATTTGCTGAGCATGAGTTTCAGAATGATGGTAGCAGAGACTATAATATACTACTGTTAAATGTGTAGAGTTTGAAAATATTATTATATGTTTTATGTATATTTTCTTTTAAATCCTGATACTCCAAAATGTAGAAACTAAAAAGAAAAAAGACAAGAAATCTAAACAAGCAACATCACTGACTACAACTGAACAGACCCTGGAAAGCATGAAAATTTTAGGAAATTTGCACAAGCAAAGGAAGATACTGTATTTTAAGCCACCTTGAGTACTGTCTGTACTGTGACAGGCTGCAAAATCATTTGGAAGCCATAAATATTGCCCTTCTCTCCCACATCCTCCCTCCCAGTCACAGAACAAACAGGCTGTGAAACAAAAAACGTTTCATTTATCACCTAGATTTTAGCCAGCTGCTCTACAAATGGATGGCTCAAGAGATAGATAGCATATTCCCACATAGGCACCAATGATGCTCTTCAAGAAGTAACAAAAACTGAAGTCAACCCTACCAGGAACAATTCTGGTCTTCTGAACACCCCTAGCTATAACTCACCATCATGCCATCTCAAGCATAAATCCATAAGATCCATGCAAAATTTATTTTAGTTAACTTTAGTCCCCTCCCAAATGTTGTGAAAAGAAATATTTTGAAAGAATGTGCTTTAAAATTAAAAAAACCCCTGGTATTTCTTCCACTTAGAATCTTCAACTGCACAAAGACTTATTTTAATTTGAACAAACAGGACAGAACATTTGTTCTTTCAACAGGGAGCTCAAAAACTGACAAAAACTGAACATCAAATGAAAAGACTGTTCAATTCTTCAATTCCATAATTTTGGAAGGCTATGATTAAAAAACAAATCAGTCTACAACTTAACTAACAATTTTACAATGCCTGAAATTTTAAAATGCTCTAATACTTGAAGACTCTGTAAATTTATTTAGAAATGAATAGTCCTTAACATCAGATTTGTTATATAATAATATGGGCAGAGAGACTAAAAAATGTGAGTATGGAGGAAAAACAGAATAGGACTAGTAAAGAAGAACCAGAATGGAATAGCAAAGGAAGTACACCACCAGACCTCCTCAATACCACCACAATCAGTTGGTTTTCTAAGAGCAGAAGTGAAGTGCCCCAGCTGTGGCTCTCTGTGAGACATGAATATGCCCTTCTTTAGCTCTGTTGCCCTACTCAACATTATACTATTTGAAAATTATAAGCCAGGATCATTCTGAGACAAGAGTCCTAGAAGATGAGCATGAAGGCCTGGAAGGTTTTTGCTAATTTTCAAGAAATGAAATTACTTTAGCCAGTAATTCCTAAAGACTGCTATAAAACAAATTATACACTGATGGAGAGGTTATTTTATCCTGACTCTCCGAAAGGAAAAACTCAGGAACTAAAAGGAATAGTAAAGAGCTAACCTTCCCCTGCTATAACTGAATGAGCCAAGGCAAAGAGACTTACTACTTGAGGTCTTTCTCAAGTTTGAGAAGAGTGACTATCCGCTGTATCTCTGAGGGAGTAGGTGTTCTGTTCCTGCTGCCACTGAGTTACAACACACAAACGGTGACTTGTATAGGCACATGAGAGACCAACACCTTTAAGGGATGGTAATTTTTACTATTTCATTCTCTGTAACTAAATATTTTGGGGGATTAATAATGTACAGCCTGCTTGTTACTTACTTCAGGGTGTTGTTTGTTTTTTAATTAAAATTAAAATACAGTAGGGCAAAAAAGTATTTAGTCAGCCACCAATTGTGCAAGTTCTCCCACTTAAAAAGATGAGAGAGGCCTGTAATTTTCATCATAGGTATACCTCAACTATGAGAGACAAAATGGGGAAAAAAATCCAGAAAATCAGTCTTCACAAGGTTTTCACACACTGTTGCTGGTATTTTGGCCCATTCCTCCATGCAGATCTCCTCTAGAGCAGTGATGTTTTGGGGCTGTCGCTGGGCAACACGGACTTTCAACTCCCTCCAAAGGTTTTCCATGGGGTTGAGATCTGGAGACTGGCTAGGCCAGTCTTCACAAGGTTTTCACACACTGTTGCTGGTATTTTGGCCCATTCCTCCATGCAGATCTCCTCTAGAGCAGTGATGTTTTGGGGCTGTCGCTGGGCAACACGGACTTTCAACTCCCTCCAAAGGTTTTCCATGGGGTTGAGATCTGGAGACTGGCTAGGCCAGTCTTCACAAGGTTTTCACACACTGTTGCTGGTATTTTGGCCCATTCCTCCATGCAGATCTCCTCTAGAGCAGTGATGTTTTGGGGCTGTCGCTGGGCAACACGGACTTTCAACTCCCTCCAAAGGTTTTCCATGGGGTTGAGATCTGGAGACTGGCTAGGCCAGTCTTCACAAGGTTTTCACACACTGTTGCTGGTATTTTGGCCCATTCCTCCATGCAGATCTCCTCTAGAGCAGTGATGTTTTGGGGCTGTCGCTGGGCAACACGGACTTTCAACTCCCTCCAAAGGTTTTCCATGGGGTTGAGATCTGGAGACTGGCTAGGCCAGTCTTCACAAGGTTTTCACACACTGTTGCTGGTATTTTGGCCCATTCCTCCATGCAGATCTCCTCTAGAGCAGTGATGTTTTGGGGCTGTCGCTGGGCAACACGGACTTTCAACTCCCTCCAAAGGTTTTCCATGGGGTTGAGATCTGGAGACTGGCTAGGCCAGTCTTCACAAGGTTTTCACACACTGTTGCTGGTATTTTGGCCCATTCCTCCATGCAGATCTCCTCTAGAGCAGTGATGTTTTGGGGCTGTCGCTGGGCAACACGGACTTTCAACTCCCTCCAAAGGTTTTCCATGGGGTTGAGATCTGGAGACTGGCTAGGCCTTTTCTGGATTTTTTCCCCCATTTTGTCTCTCATAGTTGAGGTATACCTATGATGAAAATTACAGGCCTCTCTCATCTTTTTAAGTGGGAGAACGTGCACAATTGGTGGCTGACTAAATACTTTTTTGCCCCACTGTACATCTCAGCTAACAGCAGAAGTTACACAACTTGGAAAACATGCTTATACTGTTTTGTCCAAATACTACCAGTTTTTGTTCTCTTGATGGATTTTTGGATTACCTGTCAGCTTTTAGCAGCAAATTAGATGGCAGCTCCACAAGTAGGTTATGTTGCACATCCAGGACTTCCACATGAGTTCGTTCAATCCTCTCTGGTAGCCTTGCCAACTGATTGTGTCCAGCAAGTAATTTTCGCAAGCTGATATTGCAAAATAACCTTAAAACAGATATACAAAAAGCAGTAAAACATGCAACACCAATTCAAGCAAGTCTACTTCAAAGAGGCTGAGAAAAACCTCAATAGCATTCTGCAAATGAGATAGGGTCCAGAAGTAGCTAATCCAGTCACTGTGAGAATGAATTTATTCACTAAAATAAATAGGTGGAATCAATGTACTTTTCCACACAGTGGAGAAATTTTTAAAATGCAAATATCCCCCAGATATTTTCTAAAGAGGATTAAGTGGTCATCCGTGTTTTCTCAGGAAATCACACTGAACTTTCAACAGTATCCTGAAATCAAAAGTATATTTTGCCAGGCTATACAAGCATAATTAGTGCCATGTACTCAGATCTACTAAAGTTGTGTCATGAATTCTATACTAGCTGATTCTAATAAGGCAGGAGAAATGATACAATTGATTTTTTTCAGTTATTTCAGAGGGGGAAAACCTTATGGTGCTTGTTTCTTGATTCAAATTAACCACAGGTTGTCATCACATCCAAACTGGATCTGTACTGAATTTAAACCAGCCTTTCCAAACTTGGTGATTTCCAGATGTGTTGGACTACAACTCCTAGCACCCCCACACAAGAGTTCAGCACATCTGGAGAGCACCAGGCAGAAAAAGTCTTAAATGATGCCATTATCACAAACCACACTTGGCTGTTAATTTGCTATAATAAAAACAAAGATTTATTTGCCCCAGTTGAAGATATTTCAAAACATTTCATAATAATATCAGGAAAAAGATGGAGAACATGCAGATCCAGGGCATGATTTATTGATATGAACTGAATTAGCCCATCATTTTATTGATATGCACTGAAAAACACATGCATATTCCTAAAAAAGTGTGAACATAGCAAATAAGTATTTGAACATCTGAAGTGTTTCAGATCATTCCGAACTTAGATATAAGCATACACCAAATAAAATGATTTCTCTGAGGAGGAAGGGAAGCAAAAGTGTGCTGTTTTATATGAGACAGTATTAGGTCATGTGGCTACTGCAAAACCAATGAAATAAACTTATACCTAGGAAAAGAAAGCCGCAATGAAACTGGCATTTAAGTTGTTAAGCTCCAATTTCTACTTGGGAGATGGAGATATTATTCTTTTCTGCCACCTGCCTTGTCTTTCCTGCAACTGTATATTTTAATCAGAAGATGTTCATCCTGCACCGCTGACCTTTTTTCACTCAATTTTACAAGTTACTCAGCACTGCAGAAGCCTTCTCTACTCCTTTAAATGCTGAATGCAAAAAATGGGGCCGCAAAGATTTATACTACTTTTTTGGGCTCATTTCTCTCCTGCCAATTAAATCCATCCTTCATCATTAAGTACAAACTACCACTTATCCAGATTTTTCTGCCAAAGACATCAATGAAAAGGCTGAATTTTCCTCAGTGGGTATCATCGGATAATCTACATGAGAGCCAATACTGCCTGTTATTCTCTCAGGACAAAGATTGGTTGCACTATGTAGTTCTTTTTAACAAGTAAATAATCTAAGTTTCACTGCTAAAAATGGCCCAAATGAAGACATTTGCTAATTTGTCTCTTCTCAATTTTTTTGAGGGGGTGTGTGTGTGTGAAATTTTATAAAAAGATAAACTCCTACATGCTTTCCTTCCACTGCGTTACTAGGTAGCATCTGAACTGAAACCTCCTGTTTCCAAATGCTTGACCCTTCTTTCTTATTTATTAGCAGTATTATTAATAATACAAAGTCAAGTCATGGATGGCTTCCGCCAGACAACGTTCAAAATTAAGACTGTTGTGAGAAGCAGGAAGGAAGACTATCACATAATTTATTACAGGTGGGGATGTACTGAATTTAACCTTGCAAGGCAGAGACTGAAATAAATGATCATGATACAACCCAAGAAGTTTGATTTGTCTCCTATATCCCTGCATGTTACATTGAGTAATTGCCAAAGGACTTCAGCTCAGTAGCAAAGCATCAACTCTGCATGCAGAAGAGCCGAGATTTAATTTGTGAATTAAAAGGATACGGTAGCAGCAGGCGGTGGAAAAGACATCTGCCTGGAACACTGGAAACCTAACAGAATACATTCATAGGCTCTTGCAATCTACACTCTACAAAGTTTAAAACAATATTAGGCCTACAGAAATTAAATACAAGGTTTCTGAAGTTGTATCTATTTTTAAGTATCTTCGTGAGCTAATCACTTTGGAACAGAATCTACTGGGCAGTGACCAGCTGGCTTTATTGCAATTTTCTGCTCCCAAACTCTTCATCTCATTGTCCATTTGTTAAACACAACTACAGATTATTTTCTGAAGCAGAAACTCTGATTCTGCCATCCCAGTCTGGATTCCTCTATTGACACCTTTTGAGTCCTGGCATGTCTATGAAAAGAATTGCAATAGGTTTTTCAGATGCTGAGAAAAAACTATTGCAATATTTAAAAGGTGAAGACCTGAGGTTTGGGAAAGATGGATGACCTTTTTTAGAACTTCTGCCTGGAAACCTGGAAGATTGCTTTGTTTATGTCTGCATAAAGAAAAAGGTTGTGGTTCAATGACACTCCAGGAAGAAAACATGAAACAAAAGAAGAAACAAAACCACACATACACATTTCTGTCACTAAACAAGCCAGACACTGACTCAGTGCAAATAATTTCATACTGTGCATCCTGTTTCTGGTTGTTTTAAAGGTGTCTGTAGGACTCACCGAGCAGGAAGTTCACGTATGTGATTGTGGCCCAGATCCAGTACTTCTAACTTTCGGCTATCACAAACCCACTCTGGAAGGCTCTCCAGGTGGTTTCTGCACAAAAAGAAGTCAAATGAAAAATGATGTCAGTGCTATTAGGGGATATTAACACACTTTTAGCACACATGGTTTAACATATAAAAAAATGTTGGACGTCTTGTCAGCAACAGTACGTAGCATTAGGCGGCTTGGACTGACTGCAGCTACATGGAGAATGCTTACAAAATGGCAAACACAGATTATCATGCAGTATACTGAATCACCCTTAAAATATAATCACCATCAGGTTGACCTAATCAGGTATTAGTGTAATCCAGACACCAATGTGGGGACAGAACCCAACAGTGATCAACAGTAATCTTGAGCACTGCAGAGACACGGTATGTTTGCAAGTAGCAACAGAACACGGTATGTGCCTCTTCAGGTGACGAAGGTGACAACAAACATATTTCACAATAGTATCTCCAACTATATTGTTGTTGCTGTTGTTGTTATATTTTTATTCTGCCTTTTAAAATATATTTTGGTCAACTCAAGGCAGCGAAGATACCTAATCCTCCTGCCTCCTGTTTCCCCACAACAACCACCTGGTGAGGCGGGGTAGACTGAGAGAGAGTGACGGGCCCAAAGTCACCCAGCTGGCTTTCATGCCTAAGGGAGGCCTAAAATTCACACTATGAAAATAGCAACGACAACAATATATAATACTCATTACTGCACAGCCATGCACCTTTTCTGCCATTACTTAACAGCTACAATACATAGCATTAGGCAGTGGGGATTGACTGGAGCTACAGGCAGAATGCTTACAAAATGGCAAACACAGATTACCAAGCAGTGTACTGAATAACCCTTAAAATCTTGAATCTGGAACTAATCAACCTAACCACATAATATTATGTGTTAACCCACAAAAATCATCCATAGGACTTCAAGAATGAGTGCCAATTTACATGGAGGAGGAATCTTTAGTGAAGAGATATATGAAGTGAAACATTCCAAAGCCAAACTAACGGATAAAACATTGTGTGCAATATGGACACGTTCACATTTTCTCATTCAGTAGCTATTTAAAAAATCTCTTATTCCCACTTGTTCTCTTGTTTCAGTCAGAAGCAGACATAAAATTCACTGAGGTTCAGAAAGTAGTAGTAAGCCACAGGAACATAATGTAGGCTTAGAAACATCCCAGGCTCATTTTAGGTAGGCTGAGGAAGCAGCTGTATATATGTCACATGTTGACATCTCTCCCTATTACAGGTAGTTCTTGAGTTACACTGGCATTGGGACCGGAATTTCCACCACTAAGCGATGCAGTTGTAAAGTGCGATGTCATGTGACCGCATCACTTAGCAACATCAGTCCTGGCAGCTGTCGTTAACCAAATCCCACCAGTCATTAGCCACAGTCCCACCCCGATCCAAGCCACTCCTGGCTTGGTCCCTCCCAGTCCTGAGCCTTGGTAAGGTAAGGGACTGCCTCCTCTTCAACTACCACCATCCTCCTACCTTGCCCCCCCATCTCTGCCCTTTTGGTTGCCTTGCACTCCGCTGCTCTGCCAGCCTTGCTGCCCTGCGCTCGCTGACCCTGCTGGCCCTGCCGGCCTTGCTGGCCGCAGCTGACCTCCACTGTCTTCTTCCTGCCACTGCTGACGAGGTGCACCCAGCCTGGCCCTTCATGAGGCAACTACTGGCCATGCCAGGCCTTCTTCTTGAGGCCGCACCCACCCCTTGTCCAAATCCTGTGCGGCCTTCTTGCGAGAGTTTGGAAGGCAGGTGTGAAAGAAGGCCCCAGCTGCACCAGTGCAAAAGAAGGACCTTTCTAGCCGGGTCCTTCTTTCACGAAAGAAGGCCCTGGTGTGAATGGAGGCCCTGGCTGGGGTGTGAGAGAGGCCCCAGTGGCACCAGCACAAAAGGCGTCACAAAGAAGGCCCTGGCCAGTACAGTAGTGGTGCGCAGTGCGGCAGCGGCAAGCAGGACTGGTGTGGGGGCAGCTGGCAGCAGCAGGTAGGCGGATGGCCAAAAGGTGGTCATAAATGCAGGTGGGCCCAGGTGGACCCAAATTTTGTTCATGAGATGGCAGGGGCACTGCAATGGACAGAACTCTGAGGACCGGTTGTAAATCCCTTTGTTCAGTGCCATCGTAATTTCAAACCGTCGCTGAATGGATGAACGTTAAGCAAGGACTACCTGTGTCCAACTATCAGACCTGGGAGATGGGGGAGTGAGGTTCTTCTTTCACCTAATAAGCTCTTACATCAAAGATTAGCAGGGGAGGGTTTGCAATATCCCTAAATGGAACCAATAAAACTCCAGAACTAAATACAACACAATTTAGAAAAATTGGCAATTTCATATGAAATTACACAACTTGCATCTCCCATGGCTTCAAGCATTTACTTTTGATGCCTATAGCCTGAAAAGACTGCTGTGCCCTGTACTATTTTAGCAGAAGGCATCTGCAAAAGCTTCTGTTTCTGGTAGTGGATCCTCCCCCCCCCCCCCAAGATACCCAAAACTTC